TGATTGGCACACATGAAAAGGATCGCAAGTGATGCTCACGTTACACCGTTACACGCAATGACCAGATCACAGGTGGTGGAAAGGCTACAATGTAGATAGAGGACTGGTTGACACACTTGAATAGCGACTGAGAGTGCGAATGTTTCAGCAAAGGCTGCTGGGCTGGACCTCTCTACCTTTATCAATTGTGCAAGCGATGCTGATGCGAACAGGTTTTGAATGGTGATTGAAGCAACACAAAACAGAGTCCAAAAGGTTGTCAAAGTTGTGCCATTGTCCATTGTCTTTGCCATCAGAACCTGGTTCAACTGCACATCTAAACTAAACATGTTCGGGATCCGGGCTTGGGGTGCCTTGTTACTATGGAAAGGGAATTGAAGTCGAATATGGAACATCAAATAGGCACAGGACCTTTATTGCATGGTTTTCCTGTGATGACATACATCAGCAATCAAACACCTGCCGTCAACTCAATAATATAACATAATCCGTATAATCTACATCTACAGTAAGGTTCATGACATCCCTTCAACTTCACTCGTGCCTCTGTCTTGCTATTGGGAGAGTCCCGATTCCAGATCTGGAAAAGATTATTTCTATTTATTTCTGCAATCTTCTCAGAAAACTGCCAAAACAATACGTCCAAGTTCGGCGATCAAGGAAACATCTCAATCGATTCGTAACATGAATTATTCGGCACCTTCCAAATGACCCGTGAAAGTCATGCTCCTCCACCTTGACCGCTTTGCCGTTCACGTGGAAGGAGAGCTGAGTCCTCCACGGGACACCCTCCACCTGGCACTTTCAACGGGTGAGAGGATTGGCGATTGAATCCGCGAAAGTTGCATGTCTGGCACCCTGGATGCAGCCGTGTGTCGATGAACCAACCGCAAACGGTAATTACAGTGCACATCACCAAAATGAATGAACATCTTCGTGGGGAGTCAGGAGGTTGTTTCCTGGGATCTTCCAAGACCCTTGCAAAACAGCTCCACCTTTGTGTCTAAAATGCATTGGAAAATCACGGTTCTTCGTTAAAACCAATAGTTGGAAGTCTACACCAAATGTTGGAGCTTGACAAGGGCTCACCAGAGAATGAGCCATGGTCCAAACGTCTCTTGTGTGGAAGGCATGGTCATCACCCCTTCTTCCCCTTCCCAAGGGTCCCCATGGCATACGTCAGGGGGAGGGGTTGAAAGCCAGCAACGATAAGAGGCAATTAACCTAGAACTGCTAATAGTAGCGGCGTGCCCCGACAAACTCAAAGACGATCCTTTGGCACCGGGCCAACCGCACACGCAACTGTCAAGCTTTCGTTACGCCACCCAGAACAGGACGCGGGCAATAACGCCAAAAACACCTTGACCACGAGGGCAGTACAACCACGAACCGAAATCACATCAACTGCTTCTGGATCATGTCGTTTCCCTTGCGAGTAGATCGATGTGAGTTCACATCATGGTCACATCAACTAGCCATTTCCTATGAGGGAGGCACATGTCCAACATCAGTTCTTCTTGCTCCGACATCCTTGAATGTAACATATCATATAACCATGGAAGATTAACATGGAACCTGAAAACCACATCATCACCTACACCAATGTAACTTCTGTCAAAGCTTTTGTTGATCATAGTTGTCAGGCATGTGACCATCAACACGTCATGTTCCCATAAACCCAAAGAGTTGTCGTGGAACAAGCTGACAGGCACACAAAGAATTGTTGCTTGGCGCCTTCAAACGACCAGCTTTCTCGGCGGAGGCTTTCACCACATCCATGCTGCCCGGCAACGAACTTGCGTGGAAATGATTCGATGGGGTACTCCATTCAACGATACGCAAGAATGGTTGTCTTGACTTGCAGAATACGTGCGGGATTCGTCTAGATGTTTCACAAGCAGCAAAACTCTTGCATGAGAATCACTCTAAGCTCGCAGGTTGTTTCGTTTTCAAAGCGTTCAATCATGCTCTTTGGCAGAGCCTTCTATTCCAATGTGGCAGAACCGCATGTGATCCATGACTGTGGGCCAAAAGCTCCGGCCCAAGGGGCAATTTGATTCGCGTACCACCAAAAAAGCAGGGTGGAAACAATCCGTATGAAAGGTCGTCAGCACCGACAGTTCCTCAAGACATGACCCGTATCATGACCGAGCCCGCGGGGCGACTGGGTCGCCATGCAACAGGTTTCATACCATGTAACCTGTACCGGGCTTTGCAACATGGGCCTCCCAATTATACTCTCTTGAGAGCAAGAAGAACGGTGGATCCGTACTGCCCGGCAGTGCGGGGGGGTAAAGTGTTGTGGTAGACAAACAGTTTCTTGTTGGAACTGACATCTGAAGTCACATTGGGTGGAGTCTTTATCCCGTAAAACATCATAAAACAAAGGAAACAAAGCCTGGGTCACAGAGTAAACTCAAGAATTTCTCATTTAAAGTAGCAGCGATCTCTCTTTCGTCTTAAGGCGGGCCACATGTGGTTGTATAGTGCAAGTGCAGCCAAAGTTGCATATTGCCATGATGTGCTAAATGTGGTTGAAGGCATCGCTGGTGAGGCATCGCTGTTGTTGAGGCTACATACTACCCTCGAACAGGTGGCAAAGGTGCGTTGAACACCTCAGTTTGACCTCGAGACTATCTCAAGCCTACCCCACGACCACCGTCTTTTCAGCATGGAGGCGCTCTGGTCCTGACTGTCAGGATCGGTTCGCGAAGAACTTCACTGACGTCTGCCATTGAAATTGTCAAGGCAGCATCGCTCTGTGAATGAGCCCGTTCAGGCTCGAGCTCTCTAAAAGTGTTGGACCTTCGAGCACACTATGCGAATTGGTGAGTCTATGTGAGTCTCTGTTCTGCCTCCTGCAAAGGATCAAAATGGAGTCCCAAACAGGCACAGGAATTGGGAGAGCTACGTTCTGTCTTTCCAAAAAAATCCTAAACAAACCCATCGCGGACCCTGCAACATCCGTGCAGAACTAGCGGCTAGCTGCTTGTTGGTGTAAGCCGCACAAAATGACACAACCTAAACACAAACCCAGGAATCAATAATCCCACACCGACATGTCATCCTTCAGCCCAAGCTTCAACCCCAAAAGGCAGGGAACTTACTATTATCCCCTGCTCGTCAGAAAAAACACAAGCCATCCGGCAGGGAACATGTTGGTTGGTTTTTGAGGCCTTGTGGCGTTCAACAAAGTAGGGGCCTAGGACGGAAGCCAGACTTCTACACTTCGTCCACTTCCCACTTCCTGAAGAGCTTCAATTTGAGCATCCTGCGAAGTTAGACCTTCCCACAAAATGCAGAGTCCTATGGCAATTGACCAATAGTATCCAATAGTATGGCTGATATTTGCATGTGATGATTTACCACTACCAGTCCCTAGCTGGAAAAACCAGAATCACAGGCAACACCTCTAGATGCAGTAGTGGTACCAAGTACCACCTGCATTCAGTCAGACCCATGTCCTTGATCCGTAGGATGGAAAAACTTCACATATAAGTATACGTGATATATATATATATATATATGTGTATATATGTATACATGTGTATATATATATGTCCCAAGATTCTCTACAATGGCCAATATCAGCCTTAAGATGCCCAAGTGCCTCAGCATGAAGCGCTCTCGTTAAAACACTCCGAAGCTGAACTCAATGCAAATGCATTCAAGGGGCTGTTCGAGATCTTGAAATAACGCTGGAGCTCCATCGGTTCCATCCTAATCAGTTTCACCTGCTAAACATAACGTCTCTCTCCATTCAAAGCAAACCGTGGACATGTTCCAAGTAAAGCCAGCAAAGCTGGGCATGACATCATCAGTTCTGACATATCTCCAACGTTTTCACAGTTTCGTGAGGGGAGCGCAAACCAAGCTTTCACCTCACAACTGCCTCACACCTGAACGAGTGTGGGTTTCGTGCCAGAGTGTCTATTTCTGAAATTTTGGTCCTGAAAGGTACAGCACGAGATGTCGATCTCAAAACGGTGGGTCGTGCCGGTCGTGCTGTTGCATACCAAGTCAGCATTGGTGGGACCACCAGATTTCCAAATGAGGCGAAATCCAGCAAGTTTGTGGAGTGCTTCGTTCTCTGCGAGTCTGGGAGCGCTTTGGATCATATGACCTGTCGCCTGAAATCAGTTCGGGCACGTGGAGGAACAGAAATGGCGACCAATCAGAACTGCTCAAAGAGTAGAGCAGAATTATGCTAGCGTAGACCCCAAACAGTTTGCGCGCTTTTGAAGTAAGCCACAGAGACGAAGTGTCAAACAGTCAACGACTCAAACCGCTCCAGCTCGCGGTGATCAACTCGGAATTTGTTGGCCTGTTTCAGCACTTGGCTCAATTGGCTCAAGGTCAGAACTGGCAATTCCGACGAAGACAGAACATACGCATATCTACTGAATATGCTGAGTTGTACTGACATGTGGCTTTGTCATGCTTTGTTTGGTTACAAGATGTGAAAAGCTTTCGACCCACCATGAACTTTGTGAGACAAGCAGGGAGACAAGTGAAGGAACAAGGGAGACAAGCAGGGAGACAAGTGGAGACAAGTAGCAAAGAAAGGAGAAAAAAGCAGAAAGACCACCAGGGAGACAAGTGTCAAATCATCCGGCCAAGCGTATCCAGAGTAGCGAAGCAAGAAGAAAAACAAGCAGGGAGACAACTGTAACATCACCCAGCCGAGAGCATACAAGCAGGGAGACAAGCAAAGGGACAAGTGGAGACAAGTGTAAAAACATCCGGCCACGCGTATCCAGAGTAGGCCGAGACAAGTGAGAGAAGGGAGACAAGTGGAGACAGGCGTAAAAACATCCGGCCAAGTGTATCCAGAGTACTCATGCGGCGCAATGCAGGGAGACAAGTGGGAGACAAGTGCAAAATCATGCGGCTGAGTGTGCTGGAGCGAGAGAGAGAGAGAGGGGCTATATGTTCATGTCTCTGGCTAACAGAAAAATTAGGGAAGACTGGGCGCTTTCAAAAAAGAGTGTGGCTTCAGGGAGTCAAGCTAAGAGTCTAAGAGTAGAACACGGCGCACATCTCTCTTGTCACGCCTTCTGACCGCATGTAGCCCTCACCGAAGACGCGTGAGCGCATGGCGGCCTGGCATGCTCCGCGACGACAACAAGCTGCTGGCCGCTTTGAGTGCCCTACGTCACAAAGTTTACCATCGCCTCATCATGGAGGACATGCTTCCGGCGCCAGTGAGGAACCACCTGACTTCAATTTTTCCAATCCAGTGAGCGCTTCCCCGGCCCGTTTCCACATTGCACTTGCACCGCTGCATCGCAGACCCATGTCGGTGCACATGTTTGATTTGATTATCACGATCCCTTTGGAAAAAATACCCCATCCTGATCCTGTATGCTCCGCACATTGCCCATACGGTTCAACTTCGCTGCCGCTGCCATTGAATCCGCACGTGGCACCCCGCGCCTGGTGAGCCGTCTCACCTCCAGGCACAGTCCCGCGTCACCTCCGACACCTATGCGCCGCCACGGCCGCCAATGCGCCACTATGCTTTCCCTCGCCGCTCAACTCCTGGATACTATCACTCTCCTCCAGCCAGACAATCCCGTACCAACTCGCAACCTCAGCTGCCTCGCCCGTCTGGCTCATCGACTGCGCCGCCGCTGTCTCTGCTACCGCCGCAGCCATCTGGGCTCCACCTCGCTTCAACCCTGCGCCCTGGGCCACTCCACCTCGCAGGCCGCCGTATTTTCAATTACGCTGCATGCTTCTCATTGGCTCCTTTTTTCACCATCTCTCCAACTTGCCCCCTCACACCCCGCAGTTTGCAGGCTAGCGCCAGCCACCAACACACTCCATCCAGTGTATCCTCCCCACCGCGGCCAACGGCAACTACATTTTGTGTTTCATTTGAGACCCAACCACCCCATACAAGAACAGTCGTTTTCAACACTTTGCGATCTATTCACGCCATTTTGCGACAAGGCATCGCACGGCCAGCAATGGTTGGTCTGGGCTTTGAGCGGAAACGTGTTGCCCTCAAGGAGAAGTACGAAGGCCTCGTCAGTGCCAGCAGCCATGATGGTCAAGTGCGTGGAGGCATAGGGCGGTGCGCCGTGGATGGAGAGCTCCAATGCAACATGGGAGAATGCCACCTCAGAAAATGTAGGAACTAGGGAAAACGGCGCTATTGCAGGACAAGTTCAGGTGATGAGAACAGTGGAAAGAAAAGCCAAGGGGCCAGGTCGCTCAGTCGCTGCGGGACATCGCCACCAGGATTGGCGCGCGCCCCAGCTTCAATGAAGGCAATGATGGAGCCCCTGATTTTATAGGTGAGGCTCGGCTTGTTGGTCATGCGCCGGAGGATTGCAAAGCAGGGCAGGTCGGGTTCGAAGTCGGTGTGCGTGAGGGAGCCGTCTGCGCTGTACTTCAGGACGCTGGTCTGGAGCGCAGGTTGGGTTACCTGCGCCGGAGCTGAGTTGGCGGCGCCGCTGCGCCGGCGCTTGACGAAGAACGGCGCAGGCGCTGCTGCGGGTGGAGCCTGTTTGGGCGCAGCCGTTGCTGGAAGTGATGGAGCTGATGCAATTGAATGGAGGCTCTTCTGTGGGCGGCGCAGCCTGAGGTGCTCGGGGTGTTGCCGGAACCTTCGATGCTGCAGGCTTGGCCGGAGGGGCTTCAGAGTGGCGACGCTTGTTGTCGCCCGGCATGATGCGCTCGCGGTGGGAGCGGCGGAGAGCCCAAAGAAGCTGGTCGGAAGCTGGTGGCTGTAAGCGTGAAAGCCGAGCCGGAACGAAAACGAGCGATATTCGGGTGACACGGAAACAGTGTGGCCTGTGGAAGTTGAGGAAAAACGGGTGTGGTGACGTCCTCCTGGACGCAGCCTGCACGTCTTCGATGGGAGTAAAAATAAATTTGAAGTGAGGGAAGGAGGTAGTCAGGGAGTTAAAAAAACATATATATATTCAATATTTCTGTTTTTGAAGGGCAAAATGCAAATGATGCAGGTGGAAACAGACTCACCTGTGTTGGATCTGTGTCCGATCCTGCTTGAAGCTGATGAAACCTCGACATGTGGAGACGTATGGAGTGGGTATAAATACAAAATAGATCAAAATAATGCGTCTGCTGAACGTTGGATCGTCATTCACAGCTCTTTGAGAAAGACGCAAGTCCGAGAGGAAGCTGCAATCCATCCAGTGAGTTGCACAAAAAGCGAGCGGCGACTCTGAAAGACCCGAGGATGCCCCTGGAGCCCGAGGGAACACTTGCAGTCCGGGGCGCTGCCAGGGCTGCAGGCCACAGGAGCACACTCAATATGAAAATATGTATCTTCGCAACATATGACAGGACACTTGCACCCACCAGGCGCATATTGAGTACAAGTGTCGAACACACATATGTGATTCATCATGATGCCCTCGATATACATATCTCTCTCTCACTATGCGGGTGGCAGTGGACCCATAGGGCTGGAGGGTGAATGTTGCGGTCAAACGCTTATTCGGAAAAGCCTCTCCTCAGCTGTGTTCACCACCTGTAGAAGACTCAGACACGAACAAAAAATGTAATAGTTTAGTGTTTTGAGGATGGCCTTGGAGCCTTTGGTCTGTCATGGCGTTTCCACATGGGCCTCTGACCATGAGGGTGCTTCGGTGCGGACACACGCCTCAAAGCTGCATCGCGGGTGGGGCAGTTAATCTTTGAAAGTGGTCTTTTTGCTCTGCTAAGCTCGTTGACCACTGATGGCCCCGTGGTGATGGCCCCGTGGTGGTCTTTTACTTCACCCTGAAACTGTCCCATTCTGCGCCCGTCTCACGGGCGTCAGGCTACTGAATATGGTCTCAGTTTCAGTTACAGTAGAGTGTCCTTGACCACGGCTGTCCGTGTCGACCTCCTGAAACCAAAGGATTGAATTGAAAACTGTTGAAGCCTGGAGGATGTCCATGAAACAGTGGGGGCATGCGGGGGCCATGTCTCAATGACAAGGATCATGCACCACCGTCGGGTGAGCGACAAGGAGCAAAGCAGCTCCTAAACAAAAAGAAAATCGTAATCATAAAACAAAAAACCACGCGGTCGGATCCTGGAAGGTGAGCTCTGAGGCCGCTCCAAGTGCCGGACGATCGCCCGGTTGATCGCCCGGTTGAGGCCAATGGTTTGGAACGTGCAAAACTGCGGTACATATATATATATATATAGATAGATAGATAGATATAGATATAGATATAGATTTAGATTTAGATACATTGATGACTCGCGGAATGCTACCCGCTGAATGCGAGTGCCAGAATGTGCAAGCATAGTATAGAAAAGTATAGAGAACTTGAGCATTCAAAAGAATCAAAAAGTAGTTGGTATCTTACTGACAGTGGGTTAGAATGATCGAACTGGAGCTAAGAGTATCTATAGACCACATGCATGACACCTGCCCCACGTCACATCACCGTGTTGTGTTGTGACCCTGGTGGTTCACTTCAAAACTCCGCTCGGCACCGTGGAGCCCGCTGTAACGCGCAATCTTTCGGCGTTGCAGAGTCAGCTCCGCAGGATGGTCACCGGCAGCTCGCGCTACCTGGCGACTAGGCAAAGTGTGAAGCAAAGGCGTTGGGTCGCGTCGGTTGGCGCGACCGGGCTGCAGAAAAAGAGGATGTGAACATGTATATACAGAGAGAGAGAGAGAGCCAAAGAAACGTGTACATATAGAGCATGTGTATATATATATATACATACATTGTAAAAATATATACATATACAAACGCGGGAGCGAAAGTATATACGTGCGACGTCGGGGGTTGGGAGTGTAGAGCGCCAAAGTGCTCGGACCAACCCCTGGCAAAAAGTCAGGTGTTAAGGGTCTTTAAAGTAAGACGGCAGTTCAAAGCAGTGAGGGAGAAGGAGGAGAGTGCTCCTAAGGACAGGACTTGGGAGCAAAGCGGCACATGTCCAGCTCCCCGGCAAGAGTATCGCAGAAAACAGAAGCAACTTCTAATTTATTATCGAGAGCAGGTCCGTGAGACGGAGCTGAGAGACTGCAAAATCAAAGTAGTTGCCCAAGCCTCCAAGCAAAACAGGTGGAAGCTAAGACCTGGCAGAAGAAAGAAAGGAAAAGGTAGACAGTGTGGAAGACACCAGGAACAACAACAAAGAAAAACCCGACCGCGTGTGAACCACAACTCTGCGGCCGGCGGCGGGTCAAGCGCGCATCCGCAGCAGCATCTGCGCCGGCCAACTCGGAACACGTGGCCGGCGCTCTTGGTTGGGCTGTGGCAGCGCACTTTGGCCTGCACATCGTCCGGGGTCCACGTGTAGAGAGGGCGCAGTGCGCTGTAGAGTGTTTGAACCCAAGTAGGTTCATTGGGGTGGGGTACGGGGTGGCGGCGTAGCATGAAAGCTACCAGCCAGGCGAGGGGGATGTCATGGGGTGAAGTGAAATGATGTGCAATGTTCAAAGTGGTTGAAGATGCATTGGAGCTGGTGAACAAAGTGTGAGGGGTCGCTTGGCTTGCCCTGGTGGCGCAGGTGATGCAGCTTCAGAAGGGCGTCTTCAGGGGTGTCAAGAATTGCTTGAAGGCTTTGCAAAGGCCACGCCATGCCCAATCCCACAACGTAGCAGTATTGGTTTTTGCCGTGGTCAGAGCAGCCGAAAAGATGAGAAACGTACTAGCTGTAGAACATTGTATTATGTCAGGCGCACGGGAAAACATTTCGTCACAAGTGGTGGGCATCACTTAGTATCTGATCGGGGTTTTGAACCTGTGGCTCCTGCTGCGTCGTCGGGCTGAGCGGCGTCAGGGTCCGCCGGGCATGAAATGATCCGGGCGAAGCAAAGCGAACGGAGAAGGTGTGGCAAGTAGGGGATGGGATGGACCCAAGTGAGAAATACTCAAATTAAAATTGCCCAGGTGGACCCGGAAGACCCCATGGTGTAGTAGCAACGGTCGTTTGGCGTGAGAAAAGGCTATATATATATATATCTTTTTTTCATGACAGAATCAAGTGACCTGGGATTGTTTCATCAGAGAAGAAGTGACAAATATAAGACATATTGCTGCCACAAGATCACTGTTCTGTCGGAGACATATTGTACCATCGGTTTAGAATTATACGCAAAATAGGCGAGTAGGTGACGTCCTCTCATAGGGGCTGAAATGATTATGGTACCAAAGGTCTGTGCTCTATGTAATCCTTGTGATAATGGATAGGCAAGGGAGGCACCATAAGGATCCAACGTTGTTGTTGGCAAGTGGTTTGGTACAGACGACATGTGGGCGCCGGCGAACATGTCGTTTGTATATCACTTTGTGCCCAGCATCAGTGTTATATGTCATTCTGTGACACTCCTACGACATCGGCGACCATGTCCCATGAGGCAACGGCGAATGTGTCTCATGAGGCAACGGCGAACATGCTACACGCATCGACCTGCACTACTGTTTCCTGTGATCTGCCCTGCGAGGCTTTACTCGCGATATTGTACAACAGTGGAGTTTCTGTGGGCAGGGTTGTTGTCCATGCACTGTCTGTCTGTGTACTGCACACGACAACGGCGAATGTGTCTCACGAGGCAACGGCGAATATGCTACACGCATCGGCCACCACTGTTTCCTTTGATCTGCCCCTTGCGAGGCTTTACTCGCGATATTATACAACACTAGAGTTTCTGTGTGTATAGTGTTGTCCTTGTGCTGTCTGTCCATATGTACTGCCCACGAAGCCAGCGAACGTGTCCCATGAGGCAACGGCGAAAGTGTCTCATGAGGCAACGGCGAACATGCTGCACGCGTCATGTTACTTTTTGGAGACTACAAAGGCTGAAGCCCTGAAGGACCCACCATATGTCAGAGATTTCTTTTGTGGGTGTATAGAGCACGTGACGAGAATGTTCGGGCCACCTGTCGTGCATTGTTTTTTCAGCACTAAATATTTTTTGCGCTTTGCTTGTGAAGCTCCGCTGCCAGAGCGCAATGCTCAAGATCTAGAGGCATCACTGATGTTCACACCATGTAGGGCGCAAGGCCTCCAGCAATAGTTGTAACTTTGTAACACACCATGATCGGTCGCAGCCGTCGCAACGTAGATTTATTTGCTACATGTCTCTTTTGCAGTTCAAACGTAACAGAAAAAACTTCTGCAGTCGTTACTAGTTACCGGCTATTTTTTTCACACCTCACAGGGGACAAGGTTTGTTGGCACGACGGGGTTTGAGCGTTTGGCGCCCTGTTGGTTTTTCAGTTCCTCTTCGTGGAACGGAAACGGAACCATGCACGTGACAAGAACCTTACAATGTCATCTTTCGCGTATACTGCATCAATATGGACCTATTTTATCTCTATATATATACACATATTGAAAAAGGAACACGCACAGCATCTTCACAATCCATGAGCTTTTTCATGCCGGCTGCTCTGTGGCTGCGTCTGGCTGTCGGGCGTGTTGCACACGCGCTTGCGAAGAGTGACTCGC